ATACAGCAAAGCTGCCTTACTTTTTGTATTTTCAGCTGTTGTTGTTGTTGTTGTTGTTGTTGTTGTTGTTGTTGTTGTTGTGTTGTTGTTGTTGTTGTTGTTGTTGTTGTGTTGTTGTTGCGATGGATCACAAAGCTCTCACTTCGTTAACTCGTGCCAGGGACAACAAGGTTGTTGGACAGTGTCAGTAACTATCGCGAACCGGTTGCCCCATATTTCGAGCGCAACGTCGTTTAATGCGTTCACTACTAGCGCAGTCCGGTGACTTGGGGTATTGCGGTCAATTTCTGACTTTCGAGCCCCGCAATGCTGCATGCGAGATGCGTCTTGCGTTCTCTGGTGTCTATTTCGCTGCCCTCTCGCTGAAAAGAGAGAGAGGCAGACAAACAGAAAATGAAGTCATGTTTCCTGAGGCCCCTGAGAAACCAAACTACTACTAACAGTTTTGTTTCGCTATAAGTTGCCCTTTTCGCATATTCCTTTTTTTTTTTCACTAATTATTCTGCCGCTCGCTTTGTGGGAATTCCTCCGTGAGTGGGTTCAACCTTCTTTCTAGTCCCCAACCAACCAACCTACCAACCAATGCAGCTGTGTAGCTTGGTGCTGCATGCTCATGCTCTGCTTTTGGCAAAACCGCCACACCCTCCATCCGACACAACCCAGACTGGCAGTGGCAGTCTACTAGACGGCCTGGAAATGTGCCGTTTTCGCGAGCCGCGCATTACGCAATACGGTGTCTACATTAGAGCACACTGATACGCCGTTCGCTTGCTCCGGGGTTGTACGCTCGTAATCGGTGGCTGCTGCTATCCTACCGTGCACCCGCATCGTGGTGGACGCAAAGGAAGTGGTGCACGGGCGCGCTTTATGGTTGGCAGTCTCACAACAGACGGGCCAGAGACTACAAACACAAAAAAAGATAGCGAATGTTCGTGAGACGGATAAGAGTGGTTGGTGTGTATGAGTGTCTTACAGCAGGCGAGACACTACAAATACAAAAAAATGGGGGGAGGGGGGAGGGACGTTCATGAGATGGGTAACGGGGGTTGGTGTGTATGAATGCCAGTCTTACTACGGGTGATGCATGACAAAGAAGAGAGATGAGGGGATGGGGGAATGGTCATGAGACGAGCAAGAAGCGTCGCTGTGTACGGCGAATAGCGTGTGCGTATAGCATACATACGGTGCTCCACCTTTTCATTGCGTGGCTATAGAGTGAGTACGCGCGTCGGCAGCAGCAGCAGTGCCGTTGATTCCCCTTCGGCGGCTGCGCTAATGAAGCTCCTTAACGAGCCCCGCAGTGGCGCCTCATCTCTCCCAGTGGGTGTGGTCGCAACACCGGGTTCTCCACCCCTGGGGCCCACTGCTGCTGCTGCTGCCACTGTCCTGGGCACGCGATAGCTGCTGCTGATGTTGCTGCTGTTTGTGAAGCGCGCCGCTCATTTTCTTGGGCAGCTGGTGCTGCCCTCGAGAATGAAGCGTGTGGTTCCTGTGCCGGGCGGGCGACTGCGATCCGTTAGCGCGTCTCGGTGCCGTTTCGGTGCGTCGAAAACAAACAAACACAAAAATTACTGAACGAGCCGGGCCGCCGTCGCGCTTTCCCTTCTTCAGCAATCTCGCTAAAGCCATCTAAGCACACGTACGTGTTACAACGCGTCAGTGCTTGGCGTGTAGACTAGGCATCGCCTTCCTACGGGAGAGAGAAGCGTGCAGCTTTTCATAAGTGATTATTAAAAGAGAGAAAAGAAGATACAAGTGAGCCCCGTAACTGTCTGCATCTGAGTGCGACACCTCAGCAGGGGCTCACGAGGAATGGGGTTAAAGAAGGATTAAAAGTGATAAGGATAAAAAGAGATAGGGATAGAGATGAGGACACTCACATAGCAGAAGTAAGGAGAAGATGGAGAAAGATTGACACGGTCGCAGATGTCCGAGGACGGGGCACCACTCGGCGGGAGCTCTTATCAGCGTCAGGAGATTGGCGTAGGGCGAGCCCAGTCGGCCAGAGCTGAGCTGTCGTCGGAGATCGCGGGGGCACAGCCGGTCGGCACGAAAATCCAGTGAGTGAAACCGTTGTTGTTGTTGTTGTTGAGTGATTGTAGAGGGAGTAGAAAAGGCACCTAATTTGTGCGATGCTACCTACATTGAAGCGCGGCTCTCTTGCAGAGGTTGTTGTACATTACTTTTGTTTACTGCATAATAATTTTAAGACGTATCTTTCTGCTCTCCTTGCTTAATTCAGTAATCATGAATTGCAATGCTTAAATTGGGGATGACGCGGCGAGCGACTGAAAGGAAAATGATAGCTGTAACCTTGTAAAAGACAAAAAGAGAGCATAGTTGGTCAGGGAACAAACCAGGGCTAAGTATTCTATATTTGAAATCAAAAAGAATAAATAGACATGGGTTGGGTACGTAGCGCGTAGGCAGGATAACCGCTGGTGACTAAGGGTAACTGACTGGATTTCCACGGAAGGCAAGTGGGTGAGGGGGAGACAAA